ATATTCTTCTACATAAGATTTGTATGTATTTCTGCCCAGCCTCTGGGAGATCAAAGCAATAGGAGTCTACTCTAAGCAAATTTGTAATTTGAGATTACTGGGTCACCCAGCTAAATGCTAATTTGGATTGCAGATCTGTATGTGGGCCAGTTTGTGGTTATACTTTCTCAAAGATGTTTTCCCCCTGTACTTCTCTGCTAAGTGCTAAGGTATCTTTCTTAAAATTCCCTAGGGATGAAATCCATCGGGTACTTATATAATACCTTTACACTGAAGAAGTTGTGAAACAAGAATCTTAAATTCTCCAGTTTTGCTAAATGCCCTCAGGGCAAAAGTAGTTTCATTGGTCAGTTTACTGTTATTTTTTTTTTCTCTAGATTTTGGCCTGATACCTCCTTTTGTGCTTCTCTTTGATGCTTTAAGACATATTTACATTTTAAAAGCATTTTTAGTTTCTTTCTTAAGCAGGCATATCAGTCAGGATACTTAACTAGTCACATTATTGGACTATTTCTTATTTTTCTATGCCATTATTTTGTAGTTTATATAGCTTGAATCACTGTATCAGAATTACCTGGAGATGTTTATTAAAATTTTGGATTCTGGTAGCCAATTTCAAGCTTATTGAAATAGCATTTATAAGATGGGATCCTAATACCTGAATTTTTGTGAATTTCTTTAAGTGATCTTAATACATACAGAAGTTTGCTTTCATTTCCACTTTTAATTCTCATATCTGTTTCTTTTTTTTTTTTTTTTAAACCGTGGGGGCCTGAGATCTCAATTCATTGTTTTCTATACTTGTCCTAGCACCCTCTGTTGAACAATCCATTATTTTCACATTTATTGGATAAAAGTCAATTTTTATCATATAATGTGTGTGTGTTTCTGGTCTTTTTGTTATAGTTCATTGAGTTGCCTGTTCTTTGAACAACACCATACTGTTTTAATTATTGTAGCTTCGTGATGTGTTTTACTATGTGATAATAAGAAATCTTCCATACTTTTTATTATTTTCTCCCTAAAAATCTTAAAACATTACTGTAGTTGCATCATTTTCTTGTTTTAACAGTGTTCAGTGACTTTGCAGAATTAGTTTCTCCAGTTTTTTAAAATATTTTCTTTCTGGGGCGCCTGGGTGGCGCAGTCGGTTAAGCGTCCGACTTCAGCCAGGTCACGATCTCGCGGTCTGTGAGTTTGAGCCCCGCGTCAGGCTCTGGGCTGATGGCTCGGAGCCTGGAGCCTGTTTCAGATTCTGTGTCTCCCTCTCTCTCTGCCCCTCCCCTGTTCATGCTCTGTCTCTCTCTGTCCCAAAAATAAATAAAAAAACGTTGAAAAAAAAATAAAAAAAAATATAATAAAATATTTTCTTTCTTTGGCCTTATCTCCTACTATACTTTTCTCATATGGATTTAAGAAGTCCTTAGACTGAGGTACTTAATATTTAATCTGGCTCTTTGCCCACAAAAATTTTGTGTTTTGATTTTAGTACTTAGCATGGGCATTTTTCCTCTAGATATCTTTCTGTCCATTCTTCAAAATTGAAGTTGGTTTATTTACCTTCTCTACTTAGCTGTTAGTGAACACTCCACACTCAAGGGAGTCCTCTTTGTTAACTTTGATAGCAATTATTGACTATACCATTCATTTTTACTTGGTAAATCCTACTGAATCACATACTGTAAGATCTGGAAGCTTCCTAAAGAGGTTATATCATCCATCTGTCATTTTACCAAAGAGAAAATTGAGGTCTAGGATATGGGAATGATTTGTTTATAGATTCCTTTTTTTATATATTCTTTTTTTAGAGTTTCCTAATGATTCAATTGCTGAAGTAAACTCAGAATGTATTTCTTGTGTTTTAGAGCTCATTCTGTTACCATTGTCTCCTATGTCATTATTCCATTGTATTTAAATTTTATTTTTATTTATTTAGGCATAGGGTTTTTTGGTTTTTTTTAACTAGATTGGAAGTTTCTTAAAGACAGCACTCGTGTCTACACATTTTATGGTACAACTCATAGCCCTAGAACTGTGCTTTGTGCTTATTGGGCACCTAATTAATATTAATGGCTGTTTGTAAAAAAACATGTTGCTGCATTAACCTAATGTCAAATTGGGGCTATTTCCATGTGGGCATCACTGTTATAACTGTATGAAAAGTGGCATCTAGTGGTCGGTGTGTGTATTACAATTGGCTTTAAAAACAAAAAAAGCCAGAGTACCAGTGTCATTGTAAAGTAGGTGGAATAAATAGAATATAAATTACATTTTAAAACTGAATTCAAACAAATATCAAATGTTTTAAGTAGTGACCTCTCTAAAGCATAGCTACATTTGAAGTAATAAGTGAAAAAAGGTGAAATTACTGATTTTAAAGAAAAATTATATATAAAATTACCTTTGAATTGACATGCACACTTATTCAAAGTTATATTGTTTGTTTACAAATTATATTAGAAGTTGCAGGATATTGTTGGATACTTAGAAGTCAAAAATATTATAAGTAAAATTCATGTAGTATCTTCTCCATATTAACAAACCCTTTCTGTCTATTGTTTTGCATTATTCTCAGGAGCTTAATTTATGTTTTAAAAAGAAGGATTTCTTAATGAAAGATGAAAATGGAAAGTTGTACCATCTTTTACTTGTAACACCAGAAACCTATGCACCAATATTTACATTTAAAGTGTAGACAGGGGTGCCTGGGTGGCTCAGTCGGTTAAGCATCCGATTTCAGCTCCGGTCATGATCTCTTGGTCCATGGGTTCGAGCCCGCATCAGGCTCTGTGCTGACAGCTCAGAGCCTGTAGCCTCCTTCGGATTCTGTGTCTCCCTCTCTCTATGCTCCTCCCCCACTCATTCTCTGTCTCTCTCCAACTCTAAAAAATGAAGAAACGTTAAAAAAATTTTAAAAATAAAGTATAGACATACATTTCAAAGTCAAATGTTAATTGTTTTTAAATGTATAGCCATTTTGTACACTATCCTTTATCCTCCATTAATGCTTGTAACTGATTATTGATAATATGCACAATCCAATTCAGTGAATATGACCATTGACAGTTCTCATCTTGTGAATTGGTATCTTCTAAAATTTGTAAGCTTATACTTTGGAATCTACAATTCATGTTTACACAAAAAAGTTATACATCTTAAATTAACCTCTGTTACTGACACACTGTAATGTAATTTTTCTGTATGGAATTATCCTTTCCATTAGAGAGCAGTGATGTACGGTCTTTGCATCTCTACCTACACCTAATGTGACATAGTGGCTGGCATATAACAGGTGATCAATAAGTATTTGTTGAATTAGTTTTATATGTTGGAAAGAGCTGTGTCTTAATCGTGTTTATTGCTTAACCAGTTTTCTGGCCTCTAATAATGCTCAATTCATGTTTGATGAGTAAGTCTGTATAAGTCCATTTCACTTGTAATGTAGTTGATGTATAATACTGAAACCTAATATCAACTATGTTTGATGAATAATAGCTGCATAACAGCCTTTCGATTAGAAATGTCAGGAGCATCTGTTACAGGAACAGCAACTTGCAGAGTGAGAGATTACCCCCAACATCAAACCATTGTTGTTTGCTCTTAATCAGGAAAAGGAGTTCCAGCATCTGGCTAGCTTCTAGTTGCAGCTGAGTAGATTAGGAGTTATGACTAGAAAGATGAGGTCAGTAATTTGATAAGGATTGGGGAAAGTATTCTGGTAGTGGTTGGAGTAAAGAAACACAGGGAATGTTGGGAAGGACACTTAGGTACTTTTTAAGTCACAGTTTTCCAAGGCTGAGCATTGATACACATTATTTGGTATTTACATCACATAAAAGTTTCTCTTATTTAATGAAAAGTATACCTTGGGATGAGCACTGGGTGTTGTATGGAAACCAATTTGACAATAAGTTTCATATATTGAAAAAATAAATAAATAAAAATAAAAATAAAAAATAAAAGAGATCCCCAAATCAAAAAAATAAAAATAAAAACAAAAATAAATAAAAAAAAAAGAAAAGTATACCACCTTACTGTCCATAAATGGAGAGCTATCTACATAGGTTAATCTAACTACTATTTGTTTTTCTAAGGAGTTAGCTTTATGTCAGAGTATAAGGTAGATCTGGATGGCAGAAGTCATCTATTATCTTCTTCTCTTATGGGTTCTTATTTTATTTTTTAAGATTTTTATTGTTTTTAACTAATCTCTGCACCCATCGTGGAGCTCAAACTCACAACCTCGAAATCAAGGCTCCACTGACTGCTCCACTGACTGAGCTAGCCAAGTGCCTCTCTTGGCTCTCTTGGCTTGGTCCTTATTTTGGAGGAGGATATTTTTCTGGCTTCAAGACCTCAATTCTTAATATGAATAAAGGAATTTATTAGTAGTGGCTTTTTAGAGGATCTAGGCTGTGGGAACAACATTTGTGGTAAAACTTGTTGGAGTCATTATAGACTGAACTACTAGCAATGAGAGAATGGGAGCGAAGAAAAAAAGTTGGTAAAAGATAGCATTACATATTTTATGCTCCATGATTGCTCACGAGTGCAGAGAGTCAAGCAACTTCGACTGTCAGACATCTTTAGCTAGTCACCAAGGTCATTGCTAATACAGATTGAAAGGTCATTTCTTGAATGTGATGTTAGGAGAAAGAAAAGAGTTCCTAAGAGCTTGGACAAATGGCAAATAATATTACAGGGAAATTGTTTGAGTTGCTTTTTAATTTTTAGTATCTTTTTAAAAGGATATTTTTCACTTTAAAATTATGAAAGTTACATCTGCTCGTTATGAAAAGATCAAATGGAAATGTGTACCATAAAGGGTGAAAGCTTCCCCAGAGGTAACTATTGTTTGCAATTTGGTATATATCTGTTCAGATATTTTTCTGGTATTAGTTTTACAAATTTGGATTGTTGAGTTTAGTTGAGGGGTAAGTCAGAGACTGCTTTTCAGGTTCATATTTAATAATCTTTCTCCCTCTTTTTCTTCCTTATAGGCTTGCTATGGTTGTTCTCCAGGATCAAAATGTGACTGTAGTGGTGTAAAAGGAGAAAAGGTGAGATTTGAGATGAGCCTTTGAAAACTTAGTAAAACCAGTAAAATAGTGTTTTAATATGTTTTTTTTTTTTTAAATCAGGGCTTCTACCTCAGCATCTAAGTAAATAAAATGAATTCTACCATACTGCTTATTTTAGATAATTATAAGGATTAGACTATATCTCAGGAGTTAGCAAACATTTTCTGTAAAAGACCATATAGTAAATATTTTAGGTTTTGTGGGCCACATAATATCCCTATCACACAATTTTTAACATTTTTTTTAAAAAGTCCTTTAAGAGTATAAAAAATGTCTTAGCTCTTGGACTGTACAAAACAGACTTCTTACTGCATTTGGTCTGAGAGCTGTAGTCTACTAATCTATCTATGATCAATCTTGTTAAAACCACTAACTTAATAGGCAAAAGAAGAAAAAAACACTAAGAAAGAAACTAACATTTATCAGGCTACTCATCTGTATTGAGTTTCATACTAGCCAATTTCATGTATTTTTATCTAGTCCATGTAAGTTAACGATTAGTGAACCTCTATTTTTATTTCACTTTTCTAATAGCAGCACCTCTATTGTATACAGACGATAATTACAAAGTAAGTATTGGTGGGGCACCTGGGTGTCTCAGTCGATTAAGCATCTGACTTCGGCTCAGGTCATGATCTCAAGGTTCATGAGTTCAAGCCACACGTCGGGTTCTGTGATGACAGCTCAGAACCTGGAGCCTGCTTCAGATTCTGTGTCTCCCTCTCTCTCTGCTTCTCCCCTGCTCATGCTCTCTCTTTGTCTCTCAAAAATAAATAAACGTTAAAAAAAAAATTTTAGGGGCGCCTGGGTGGCGCAGTCGGTTAAGCATCCGACTTCAGCCAGGTCACGATCTCGCGGTCCGGGAGTTCAAGCCCCGCGTCAGGCTCTGGGCTGATG